CCGGCTGCCCGGCTCCCGTGCCGCCTACGTCAGCTGTCCTACACCGCGACTCGGTTTTATTGCTCCCCGGCGGGCGCGCTCCGATTTGTCTCCATCGCCCCTGCCGTGTGGCGTCCGAAATCGGGCAACGTCTCCCCCCCGGCCCTGCTGCTAGGTGGGCGTTCTCAGGCGTAGTGCCGTGTCACCGTGTGATTTCGGACCAACCCTCCCATCTGTCGCCTTCGCTGGCTAACCCAGCCCACGCCTGCCCGCTCGCTGTCCGCTGCTGATTTCATAACCCCCATCTCTGCGCCAGGAGCCAGGGCGTGTACGGGAGCCTCCCTTGACAACAGAGTCTGCCTCGTCCAAACTGGATCGCTAACGAGCAAAACCCAGGCCTCCAATCGGGTGCATGCAAGCACGCAGGCAAGGCTGCGGGGGCGAGCTTGGGGAGGCAGGAATGTTTTGCAGAATCACACAGATTAAGCTTCTCCGGATACTTCTATTTCCGATAAGCAGAAATCCAAGAGGCAGCCACACAACTGTTCAACACCCACGTAGGTTTTGCAACACGCAGAGGAGCATTAGGCATGGAGGAATCCTACACAACGCGCCAGAGTGACGTAGTGGGGGGCTGTCTGCTCTGGAGCCCCGCATTCCCACCTGGCTGTGGGGTGCGATTCCCAGTGGCTCACTCCACTTACGGACTGGCCCAGACAACTAATTCCCAGCCTGAGCAGGGGACAACCCCGTTCCCAGACAAATGAAGAGAGGTGGGGGGGTAGATTTGGGGAGTTGAGTTAGTCTCAGCTGGGCTAGGTTGAGTGATGCTAGTTTAGACCAAGGAAAGAGGGGTTCAGGGCCCGTGAGCCCTTCCCCCCAAGGGGAACAAGGCTGTCTGCTCTCGGTGTCGATGCTCACACAGATTCTACGCCCCGGTACGTCTACACAGCAACGTTATTTCGAAATAACCTTCCGAGCGTCGACACAAGCCAACTGCTATTTCGAAATTCATTCGGAAGAGTGGAGGGCGTATTTCGAAATGGGTAAACCTCATTCCACGAGGAGTAACGGTAGTTTGAACTAGGAAGCCTAGTTCGAACTACCTAGTTCGTGCCCGTGTAGCCGCGCTGCACGGGGTTCGAACCAGCGGGGTTTTAAAAATGGCGGCGCCCCGCTTATGCAAATGAAGCCCGGGAAATTCAAATCCCGGGCTTCATTTGCAAGTGCGGTATGCCTACATTACCCCGCTAGTTCGAACTAGGAGGGTAGTGTAGACAGACCCTTAGATACTTCGAAATCACGCCGTCGTGCAGACATACCCCGAGAAGCAATCAAAACTTCTACTCTACTGGTTGGTGGAGAGTGACATCTGGCTGCGGAGGGGGGTGCAGGGTCGGGGGGCGCCCCGACGAACGACCCAGTCTCGCTTTGCTACAACATGGGCGGAGCGAGAACCATCGAGGGGAGGGAGGGCAGGACGGACCCACAGGTCCTATTGGACCTAGAAGTGACAGACCCTCCGCGCCGATAACCCGATGAGTGGGTGTGACGGCGTGTCGGGGGTCCCCCCCCCCCCCCGTAGCAGCAAGAACAGACTCCGCCCTTGATTCCCTACCCCCTCCTAGTCCACCCCCTTCCTGGTTTCAACCAAAGACTCCCCCACGGCGACTAGCACCGTACCGACACTACATCCCAGCTGGAATCCAAGAGCCCACGCCCTCCCGCCGGATCCCGTAGGTGGCAAACGGGTGAAGCGTAAGCGAACGAGGCTTAATTACTGGACTATAACACCTCGTCGATTCATCGCTGCTGCATGGCTTGGCGCTGCGTTCATCGCTTCGGGACGGGGAGTATTTAAGGTTTCAATACTCATCCCGTACCGACACTACATCCCAGCTGGAATCCAAGAGCCCACGCCCTCCCGCCGGATCCCGTAGGTGGCAAACGGGTGAAGCGTAAGCGAACGAGGCTTAATTACTGGACTATAACACCTCGTCGATTCATCGCTGCTGCATGGCTTGGCGCTGCGTTCATCGCTTCGGGACGGGGAGTATTTAAGGTTTCAATACTCATCGTGTTAAGGCTTGTGAAACGCCCACAATTACACCACCTGCTGCAATAAATACACGCAAGGAAATCGAACCCCACGACAACCGGCGTGGATGACGCCGAGGGCCCCGCACCTGGACTGACCCTGGCGGGACCCCGCGAGATACGTCGTGAACCACCGACCCCCGCTATGCGAACGTGCCGACGAATGGAAGTCGGACCTCTCTAGTCCGGCACCCGAGAATAGACCTGACCGGAGAATTTGCCAGACGATGTTTTCACGGAGGGTGGGGGAGCCCCCGGGTCCTGCCCCCCCATCTGCAGCCAGACCGGACTCTCAGCCGGCAGGTGGAAGAGAAGTTGACGGGGAACACGGAGTCGCACAGACTTGTTGTTACAGCAATCAGGAGTCAGTACTATCCTGCTGGGGGAGAGGGGCGCCCCGAGCCAGCCCGGCCCCCCGCCAGCGAGACGCCTTTCCCTAGGCCAGCCGAAAAACTCAGCTCAGACACCAATGTCTAGCAGCGTCACCAACACTTCCCGTGTGCTGGGCTGTAGGAGACACCGAGGGGCGAAATCGAGCCCAAGAACAGCACAGAGCCCTGAGCCGGGGGTGGGGGCTGTAAGAAACTATCGGGGACCGCGGGAAACCTGCCCACGCCCATGAGAAGCAGACACCTGGCTCACTGCAATCCTGCTGGAGCGGGGAGGCCGAGCGCCCGACCCGGGGAGGCCGAGC